TCGAAGGAGCTAGAACTCCTGTCAGGCCCTTGCGAGGAAGAGCGAGATGGAATTGGTTCATTCGAGGAGGGAATAGGAGCGGCATGCAATTGGGACGGAGAGGATTTCTCTAGAGGGATGTAGAGGAACTTTCCGAAGATGTATAGAGTCTGATGCCCATAGATGATTCACCCGTCGTAGTTCAGTAAGATTAATTCCGTATTTTAGCGCAACTCCAGCCAACGAGTCTTTGGAAGTAACCTAAATGAAATAACTTTATAAGCATCAAACGAACTGGGAAAAGTAAAATAAACCCAAGTTAACTCACTTCATGAACAATGACTACTTTTTCGTCAGTTTTTACCTCATTTTTTCCTGTGTCTTCTTCACTATCCTCCGCTGACGATACGTCCACTAGACGCCCGTTATCCAGAACGCGCGTCAAATGTGGCCTGGTGATTCCAGCATCTCGAAAGACCGTAGATAGTCCTGCACTACGCAAAGGGTGATGATATTGACTGTTCCTGCTACCAGTGTCTGTTTCTGTTCTCACTCTGGCGTGGTTGGACCCTTCTAAATCCAAGAACGGCCTCGAAGCGTAACTTGGGCTAGGGGATCTGAAAGCGGCAAAAGAAGGATCATCATTTAGAGAGACAGAAGAGAGAGATCTCCGGCGACCAGCTATGGGAGATGCGAAAGGATTATAATGAAGCTCTTCTACATCGTTTTGCATGATGTAGAAGAAGAAAGAACGACGAAACAGAGATGGGCGCCAAAATCGCTCAATGAATGATTAGCGCCGCCCTCGATAAGTAGACTTTCTCCCACCCTCCTCGCCACCCTCGACTGGGAGGTGTTCATCCTGTATTATACAACATGCACCGACCCAATGTACCTGTTATAGCTGATTTAAACTAACTTCTCACCAACCACCCGGTACGCTCTCCTTTACCCGCGATACCTCGGGCACCTACCTCTTTTCCTCTCTATACATCGCGGTCTTACCCGCCTCTCCCTCTCACTTTTCCTCTTTCCAACCAAGTTGCACCACTACAAAGCCAAGAATAGAATACTACTGCGCTCTTCCTGCCTAATAGCAACTCACTGGAGTCCACCAAAAACAGTCCGGCCGAATCCGGGTCTGGTCCGTACCTTAGGGCTTGGGGGACGTAGTCCCTCTGCGACACTTCTGGAGCTCGGGTCCCTTGAAATCCTTTTAGCTCGCTGTAGTTACACAAGAATGTAAAGTACGCAGAGCTCACTGCAGCACGACATAGGCTTCTGAAGGGGCCTGATGTGCGGAATATGATTTCTATCTATCTATCTATTGCTTTGAACTTGCATGACACCATCCACGGCGATTCTAAATTCTGGCTCAAAATGCTCTCTGATCCTGATTGCAAGGCCCTGTATATGAAGGCTTTGCTCCAGTAGGAGTAGGGGAGCAGCAACTATCATCAAGCCAGCAGGACCAAATTATTCAACCTCTACTATGTAGTATACTGACCAGTAACGCATGGTTACTTCCATGTAGGTTTTCCACTCGATTCTCTAGTCTGTCGATCTCATCGTGCTTATTTGGTTAGTATATTCTATGGAGTGTTACATGATCAGATTTACGATGCCAGGTGCAATGCGCGCGTCAGATCCTGCCAAAACCATTCAAAACTTCATTTCTCGATTCCATGTATGTATCCTCATCCCGCGAGACTGACGGACTGAATGTTCCTAGCTCAAACCGCATTTTGCGCGTTGCTACGTTGACCAAATATCGATCCGCCATCTCCGAAGAGATTGTGGTGTGCCAGACTTTCAAGCCGTCTTTCAACTAGCAATCGTTGACAGAGTCCAATAAGCTTTGATACAGGTTGAGATAGCACCCGTTATTTACTTATAACATTCTAACGGCGTTCAGTAAATGATTTGACAGTCCGAGCATGCGCTATGCGGTTCCCCGATTGTTTCTAGACGATTATGCCTCATACTTTCCAGGTGTGATAGTATGCATGTGCTCAGCTTGCGGTGAGTAAGAAGAAGCGATGACCCCGGATTATACGCTCACTTCCCGACCAAATTTGGGCTGTTTCGTCCGAGCCGAAATCCGATTTGGGGTGGCATTTCGTCCAAAATGCATACGAGTTCTAACTCTTACCGTCAATTTTTGCTGAGGCCTAAGATGTTTCCGATACGTTTTCGGGGTTGAAGATCACAGAAACTTCATCGATATAGACTCACCTCGGTTTATTCAGGCCAGCTTACAAACTACCATACTGTCTCCGAATTCCGACAATTACTCCGAACTCCGAGAATTGACTACGTTTCGTTCGAAACTTGAAATCTCTCTGGGTTCTAAATGGGTACTATGTTTCTAACACGTTTCCGTGAAGTACGTGAAATTTCATCAATATACACTTTCCTCAATCCATTCAGGAACTGACATGAAGGCTACCTCCGCGAGCTCCGAGAATTGACTGCGTCGAAAACTTGAAAACTCCCTGGGTGGCGGATCATTCTGAAATGCGTCTTCCCTGTTCTTGAACCCCACCCCCTCTCCATTATTTCCCAGCTAGGGTACGGGATTTCAGCGTATAATCCGGGGTTGTTTTAGGACGGTCCCGACTCGCCTCCTTATGGACAATATCCTGATTGATATCGTATGGTCCATGTCATGAACTCTCGGCGCCAACTCATTCCAAAAACATCCTCTGGCAGCTGCCAAACATTCGTTGGTCCACAGCTTCCACCTGGTCTAACGAGTGGTATGTCTGCGTTTCAGCACCGGCCTGGGTATATCTCCTCACTCAGTCTATTGTCTATCCAGTGAATGATCTTTCTGTATGTAAGTATTTCTTTTTTTGGCTAGTTTAGGATGATCTACAGCATTTTGACGATATGCAGATGATGAAAAGACAAAAACTTGGTCCCAAACTTAAAAATCGCTCTCCGGATCCTGTCAAAGCCCTCCAACACCCCGTTTCCAGTCCTTTCATCATCAGGCTCAAAGCTCTCTCCAACCAAATTATGTACGCTGCAACGTCGGCCGTACATGCTGGTATAAGCTAGCTGCTATATCTTGCAAGAAGCGTCTAAATGCAGAAGTTGGTTTCACGATTCCCATTGACCCCATTGACTGCCCATAGTACCGACTCATTCAATTTACAGAAATGAATCTCAGCTCCTGTCCAACTTCCGTCTCCAAGTAGGAGTGGTGCTGTACGTCAGTGGGTTCTTCACTTTCAGTGATCTCATCTTACTTTTTTCATGTAGAAAAAAAAGGTCGGTCTACCAACGATCTACCGCGACGTGTGTCCAGCGGTTGTGATATTGTTGTAGGTATGAAGCCAAAAGTCTGGTTTCAAACTGGTTCAACTTGAAGATCCCTTCAATACCACGGTGTCCGGTCTCTTCGTCCTCATGCCAAGGTCTGTACGTTACAGCGTCAATTGAATACAGGCAGACTGATACGAATCGATAGAGATAGTTCTTCATCCCTTGAAGCCTGAAATCAAGCGTTAACTACATAATAGTATTACTACAGAATAGTATTCTATTCACGGTCTCTATTGACCGGTATGTAGAAACTAGCGTGATCAAGCTTTTGTCTTCTTTTTGTCTTTATATACCGGACCCATCGAGGCACGGTAAATCATCGCGACCTAGCCAAAGGAAATACGATGAGATCACTGTCACTGGCGTTAATGGCTTTGACTTGTCTCCTGTAGGCAGACTCTCGCAAGCAAGCTTGCTATATTTAGAGGCTTTGACAGGATCCTGAAAGCGACTAGGATTTTACTAAAGCGTAGTTGACCGGTTCGTGACCTTGAAGCATTCGTATTCGGAACCGTGATCAAGCATTTTGTCTCTTTTGTCTTCATACACATACCCATCGAAACACGGTAAATTATCCTGGCCTAACTTCCTGAGCTAACCAAAGAAAATACGATGAGATCATTGGCACTGGCGTTGAGAAAATTCAAATTGTACTACTTATATTGAAGTATAAGAGGAAGCTAGACGTGATTTGCGTAGGTTCCAAACCGGTGACATACGTTTTAGTAAAATCCTAGTCGCCTTCAGGATCCTGGCAAAGTCATTCATTGCCTTGGGTTCTGGTCCATCATGCCGAGAACTCCCTCAGGCAAAGTTCTGCCAGTGTAAGGTGTAACACCGGCTAACTATTGTCGATCTATCAACTAGTTGAAATCACGCGCTAGCAAGTGAGTTAACTAACCTTTCACAGTGGTTCTTGACAGTGAGTGAAGTTTGTTGAAATGATTATGCATGCGTCTGCCTCTCTAGATGATCATTCCTAAGACTTCTCAAGGTCCGAAATACTGGAATGACAACCCAACTCATCGAGATTATTCAGGCTATATAATTAAAGCCAGCACCCAGCTCGATACCGCTCGTTCTAGTTGTTGTACACATCGCGCCACGCGGGGAGAAATGTGATTCATATGAATTTAAGCACTTACAGCGGGATTCAGATTGATACCCTTGGCAGTATACGCAGCTACTAGGTTGATTCCTCACCCGAACAAAAAAAAACCGCTGGTGAGATGTTATGTCAAACTTGAGGATTGATAGGACCTTACAGTCAGGCTATTGCAACTGAGCTATTCGGCCAACGTATATTTTTCTCAAGTGGTTCACCGCCTGGCAGACTCATGATCATCAACTTCATCCCATCCACTGTTCTCTGGTTATTTTAGGTACGGCAGGCGTTAAGCCTAGCGGCGATCCTGGTTAGCCCTGGGTCCGGCAGCTCAAGTAGCATGCTGTAACCGCGTAAAGAATTAGGAATTTCTAGCAGCTCGTTAGTTCTTTTGTTACGAACAAACAACGACTGAATAGTATAGCTCCACCTCGAAGCTTTAAGTGGAGCGTTTCTATAGAGTCGTTGTTTATTACTACAAATTCCTAATCAGCTGTTAGAGTGGGACTTGAAATTTACACCATAAAATCTTGAAGTCAGCCTTGTTGGGATTTCAAAAAAATGAAGCAATTCCTCAACTTATATATGGCCAACGTGGGGATCGAACCCAAGACCTTCGCGTAACAGCACCTTGACAAGTTATATTAGCACGACGCTCTAACCAGCTGAGCTAGTCGGCCACACTTGCAGGAGTGTGTATTTTCGTCAAATAGTGTCGGTTGGTGGTCTTGCCTTGCATTCTTAGCTTTTCCACTGAGCTGAATAACTGCGTTCAATTGCGCATATCGAGCTATGTAAACGAACCTACACGTATTTTGTGGCCACGGCGCTTGAAAGATTTCCGATGACGTATATGAATTTACTTTACAGCTTTCCTCTTTCCTTCCACGACCATGGCTGACCAGGCCGAACACGCGTTTATCAAAACCTTCGTCAACACTATATCCACACAGGCAGTGACCTACGACGACGAGTACCAACAGCCACCCGAAAACTCGTTGAAAAGAGTCCCTATTTTACCCATCGATGTGCCTTTACCGCCTGTGATAAAGGAACCTGCGGCGAGTTCGTCTTCTGGTACGCGTGTCTTCCAAGATTCAGTATTTCCAACTAATTTGTAATCACAAAGCTACACTAACTCTAACAATCAAATCCACCAAACCACCAATAACCTATACTCTCTCGGGAATTCACCCTACCGACACAATCGCTGCTATCAAGCAACATCTTATTGCCACAAACCCTAATGCACCAGCACCAGATGTCCAGCGCTTACTTCTGAAAGGCAAAGCCTTGGCGGATAATAAGCTGTTGAAAGAGTATACGGTCAAAGATGGGGATACGATCAATTTGATGGTGAAGCCTGGCGTGGAATGGAATCCTTCTGCACCGTCTGCGCCATCTATCCAAACTCCACAGCCCTCCTCGTTACCCATCAGCTCGTCTACTGGCTCACTATCCGGTTCCGTTTCTGGCGGCGGGAAGAAACACAGTCACCAACGAATCCCATCGGTCGTATTATCCCCATCTCCGTCCACGATGAGCTCAATGCCGATACAAAGACAAAGACGTCTTGTTGACACTCGATACGGATAACCTGGGGAGTGGCGGTGTCCCGAAAGAGACTTTGGGCTCGTATCATTTGACGATATCGAGCCCGCGTTTTGGGAGAGGATGATTGGGTTTTTGAGGTGAGTTGTATTGCAGTTTAGGTCTTGATGATCAGATAATAACGGTATTCGTTGTTGTAGGAGCGAGTTTACGCGCGAAGCAGACGCGCTTACTGCGTTTGAGGATTTCCTTGCTGCGAGTAAAGGGTCTTTGACGGCGAGTGATATTGCCAAGATTAGGGATCAGGTTGGAGTTGTTGGGATGGCCGGAACGTAGAGTGGGTTTAATGTGTAGGTGGGGGCCTCATTGTTGAGGGCCAACTTCGGGATGTCGGAATGAACTCCATTGTATCGAAGCCTAGTTATCGCGGGTCTTTGGTAGAGGTTATTGTACATTGTCTAGGCCAAAATCTGCTATTGCGAAGGCCACAATTGTTTAACGCTCTTTCTGATAGACTAATAAAGCTAGCCTTGGTCTGAAAGTGATGCAGAAACTCAAGGTAGGTCCGTATACGTCGCGGAGTGAGAAGTATCTTGGTGTGACGATTTTACCCTTTCTTTCGCTGGAACGACTAATATCAAACAGTCGGCTCCGAGGATATCGATGGATTTTAGAAATTCGAAGTGAGGATTGCGTCTACGAGTTTAATCCGGTAACATTGTAGACTCGTGCAGTAGCTTCTGTGAGTTTTGATGATTAGTCGATCAAAGCTTCAGAGAAATCACACGTGCAAAGTATTGTTCGAGTCTAGTACATTGTATCTTCAGGATCAGCATACAAGCCAGACTAAAAAAGAAGCAAGCACTCGAGTGAACGAGTCTCTCTAATTGAGTATTCTGAATGATCGAATTCTGGTGAGTACAGTATGCAGAAACTCTGTCAAGGTCTAGTCAAGATCCTGTACAGTTCAAGCAAGTTCTTGATCGGTGGACGCAGATCTGGACAGTGCTTACCGTACACATTTATCGACAAGCCTTCAGCAAGCACTTGATAATGACCAAGCACGATAATGAGTTTGCTTCTGCCCGTTCTGCTAATTGTTAGTATTACCATGTACCATGTACCATCTCCCTGTAACAAAAAAGTAGATGCATCTCAGAATGATTCATCAAGTGGAAATGATTCGACCCAGGCTCGAACTGAGGACCTTCTGTGTAGCATGTAACAATCTGAGGTTGAATGTTAGACAGATGCGATAACCAACTACGCCATCGAACCATGCGTTCGGTAGTTTTGTGCGTAAGTAAGAGATATGCTCTTCATACCAGTTCACATCGAGGGAAGGAGAGAGACAGGGGACGAGGGGAAGAGCGCAAGTGGTAAGCGTATAAAGGAGGCATAAGAAAGAAGCTGAGAGGGACAGGTGTAGGGAGAAGCAGAAAAGGTATCAGATTCTAGCCCAAGATTCAACAAAATCGCATACCATTGACCATCTGAGATCCACCTTGTAGTCCGCGCGCGTTTACGATGCGAGTTTCGATGATCCCGAATGGTTTAGGCCATCCGAGTTCCTAGACTCCTGCCTAACGCTAAGGCACATAGCACCGGAGGATGTATGGGAGAGAGGCTAGAGCATTGAGCGAACCTGTACCCTTTTGGTTCTTCATCAGCGCCAAGACTACAAGTGTCCAAAAGAGTGGAAGAATGATGACAAGCCAATGGCTTGTACGGTGGATGAAATTTTCGCGACCGCTCACTTTCGTGATAATTTAGACACGATGCAAAGCAAAAGGAGGGGTTGAATCCGCGCCAGAGTTAATACATGATACATCCATCCAAACAGCTTGAGCTCCCATTCGAGAGCATTGATGTATAACCGGGTTCGTCAAACGGAAACACAAAAACTATCTTATCCTAGGGGATTCATTTTAGGCAACGTGTGCTTGATAGTCGTATTAACCCAGGAATCTTGTGCGGCGTACGAGACACCGTAAGTTCGAAGTAAATTGAATCAGGCGCGGAGGTTATAGAGTGCATCTCGGACTTGATGTTTTTACCGAGTCCGCAAGTCCGCTCCTCCCAAAATGGTCTCGTCATCGATTATGAGCTTGAACGGGTACTGTCGTCCCGCTGGGCTAGTATTAGTTGGAAGACTCATGGAATGCTGTTCAGAATCAGAACACGACCAACCAAATGAGCGTTGCTGATTTAGATTTTCGATCATGAGCTGGAGGAGAAGGAGCAATCGCTGGCGCTAGTAGGAAACATTAACCGCAACGCAGTTCTTCTATTACTTTGGTGTGCAAGAGCTTGTCTGCAAGAGCTGAATCTTCAATCAGCAATGGATTTATACCTCAATCTATAAATCTATGAACCATTTACGGCGAGATCAACGACTCAAGCGTTATCAATTTATACCTGGGCATCTACTAATCTAGCTCCAAAAACCAAGAGCATTCGTCCAAGACCTTTGCCCAATTACCCAATTTCATCGTAGGAACACTCAATCAAATTGCACTTGTAAGGAAATATTTACCTTGAGACTCGAGAAGTGTTCGAATCCGAGCTAGACACAGATAAGGCGCTAGACCATCCTTTATGGTGCCAGATATCCTCAACATAGGTCGGAAAGGAGTCGGGAGGTAAATCGGATCGAGACGCGAGAATGCGTTTCGCTTCTAGCCAAGTAGATCCACCTGTACGAAGCGACCGAGCATCGATGCCTAATAAAACAATGTACTGATCCACAAACTTTGCAAAGCTTGCAAACCGACTCGACGACACCAAGTCGATTGCAAAATGGTGGAACATGTAGTGGACGATTCGGGTTAGCGAGCCCGCCGTTTCGGATACTCTGGTACGAAGAAGATCTGCTTGTGTGGGGCGCTCAATCCAGTCCTCAAAGTCATCGAGGACGAAGAAAGCTTGCTTCTGTAGGGCTGATGAGGATGGAGGCCAGCAATTTCCGAAAATATCCAAGAGTGGGAACACGTCATCTACACACGCTCGATCGGTGGAGAGGTGGTTCCGAATGGACGCAATGATTTGGCCCCAGAGCTCTAGATATATGATTAGCCCGAGTTCAAACGACCAAAAATATAGATTACCTTCACCCAAATCAGGGCCTGCGATTGCAGCCACATTACTCAACAGTCTGGATGCACAGGCTGAAGTTCCAGTAGAAGCAATAGGGTTGTTGAGCTGACGGAGTGACAGCTCTACCGCAAACCTCCGTATAGCAAAATCCGACTCATCCCAAGGGTGGGATTCCAGAAAGTTGAGATTCAGAGAATCGCGGGACTCCCGAATCCTCATCGATCACATACGCAAGTTCCTGCGTTGAGCAGCTCTGCAGACAGTGGAAGATATGTCTTGTCATCGCAATGCTGTCGCCAAAATTTACCTACAACCCATCGCAGTCCACGCTGAAAAAATGGCGTACTAGCATCTTCAAGATCCAAGTAACACATTGTGTGTAAAATGTGGAGGTCAAAAGACACCCAATCTGAATAATGGGGCATAGAAAGTCTGTTTCTGGAGGCGAGGGAGCTAATGTTAAGGACGAGCCTGTGAAACAACCACGACTGAGGTGACTTGTACGGACAAGGAAATACTGTATCAGTTTCTTGTCTTTGCTTCATCAAAATATAACATGATGGTAAGACCGAGGTCGCCACGACAATAAACATACTCAGTCCAACAACTGCGGTGACCAGCCCAGCTACTACTGGATTTAAACTCCAGAGGAGGTCGAGCATGCCTGCAAAGAAAAGGACCAGTGCGAGTTGTAAAAGCAAAGGAAGGGCGCTGAGAATTTCTGGGACGCCCCATTTTTGTAAGCTCTCATAACGCATTTGACGGAGCTCGAGAGTTAGGTGACGACCTGCGGAGGCTTCTTTCTGGTATTCACGAAGCCATTGTTTGCAGAGAATACCGACGAGCACCGTGGCGAGGCTGATGGTTAGACTGAGGAACCAAAACACGTTGATACGGATGGACGCAGGTGCCGGCGTAAATGCTGATACTGCCGGTGCGGGAGATGTTGATCCATTGAGGCGTTCAGAGATATACACGAGCTGCGCAAAAATAGCACTGTCTGTATCTTGCTGAAGCCATTGGTAAGATTCGGTAGCAAAAGCGGTAACTGTCGCGGAGAAAAGGCCAGCCTAAGTGGGGATAGTCAGAGCTGAGCCACGTATCATAGTGGCGATCACTGGGACGCACAAAAACAAGAAGAGTGTCGATATCCTCTCTCCATCCTTTGCATTTTTCGTCATCATACGTTCTGACAGATTTGAGGCATTCCGTCCAAGGATCTCCTGTATTGGGAGGCGCGCAACGATAGGGTTGATCTTCTCTCCATAACAGTGGCTATGGCAATAAGATAAGTTGGATATCAGGGAACCTGCCGAGCCTTACTGATTCTCCCGTCAAGTCTGCCGCAGATGCATCTCCAGATTCTTGGTCATCTGAGGGTGCGGCTCCCTTGAAATCTGGTCAATAATCAAGCCTTTCGAGTAAAGAAGACATTTACCGAGCTCATATTTTCAATATTTTTTGTCGCTCCGAGTTCCAAGGTCGACATGACAGTGGTTGAACAGCCTTGTATCGTGGCGACCGAAGAAGCTCTGTGGGAGTATATGCCTATTCGGAATGCGCACTGGACGCGTTCACTGTCGCGAGAGACGGGGCTCTTGGTTCATGCTTGAGGCTAGTATTATATACGTGCAAATCCCGGGGTTCATCGTATTGTGTTCGGTAAAAACTAGTGGATGAAGTAAAAAGCAAAGCTGAGGCGCTTATTCAATTTAATTTAGCGCCAGACGCTAAAGTCTTCTTTCCGATGCTACTACCAGAAGAGCTTCTTCATGTTGTAGTCGGATGGATCGCGTCTGATACTCTCTTCATTGAACGCCAACTACCCGATCTCTACTGGAAATATGCAGCGGCCAAGCTACTTCCACTATCGGTGGTTAATCGGCAACTGCGAAGAATCTGCTTACCATTCCTTTTTGCTCATGTCGAGATAAAAGACGAAAAAGACGTGGAAAGACTCAACGATTGGTGTTTTTTTCATCAGACCTTTGCCATGTCTATCAGGTAAGTAGACAGAGAGACCATGTATTTCGTCAACCATGAGCTGGCTCATACACTGCGCAGGTCACTCAACGTCCGCCGATCTAAACAAAAGCCGAATAATATCGAGGACATTGATAGTGATATGTTCAGCCAGCTGCTCCATCATCTGAGCCTCTCTCAGATCAAAATTTATCCCAGTGTGGCCTTGCTCAGCGTCAAAAATTGCCACCCCGTCCCAACTGTCATCGTTGCATCCTTCGGTACTCAGTTTGACGAATCGGACATATCCAACATCGTTGTTGACTGGGCCAAGACTTATAATGTTGAAACCCTTGATGAATATCTCGCACACGGTTTACAAGTGAGGTCTGTACAAGTGGATTGCAAGTGGAAGTATTTGAAGATCCAGGAAAACTTTTTGGAGATCGGAAAATCCATGGCCTTCGCGAAATGACGCTCTCCTGGAATGTACAGGATACTCTGTCGCTGTTATGGCTTTCCGAATTCGCGCGCAGACACCCACTGTTGAAGAAAATCATTTTTGACATTGTTTTCGATTGTCCTGTCCCTTTCGTGGATTTATTCATTGAAAAGGCCCGTGGAGAGGGACTAAATAATACTATAGTAATTCGGAGCGTCGCGGTTACTCGAGCCGCCCACACTACGGCCCTAGGACCGTTTACCGAATGGTACGTCTGGGATGCATTTATGCATCTCAGAGTGGATGACAGACAAGCTTTGGTCTCTCCTGCATGCGTGCTTCCCTGGAATCTTCGCCTTGACTCTTGAACTTGATCCTGGATCCTCTGTCCTTATGTATGTTGCTCAGTGCTCTCTTGCCAGACTTTTCAGATTAACAAAAATTTAGGATGAATTTGTTCACTCACTAGGTCGCATCTCTTCACTTCAAGTAGTGACCTTTATGGGTCCGCTACTCAACCTTTTGCACATGGGAAACGACTCTAGTTCTGTTGAACTAGAAGCTGCTTTGATCCAGTACACATCTCGCATTGCGCGTCAGATTCCTAGCATTGAGGCATTCTACGTCGATAACCTTGAGGGAGAGTCATGGACTCTCAGTGGATGGCTCAATGTGCGAGTGGAATCATGCAGTGTCGACGGACGTCACACTGTAGGGCCCCTCTGGCACTATGATGCCTGGTGCAAAGGAGCTGAATATCCAAAATATTGCAGTAAGA